AGGTGTGTAAAACATTTAAAAGCTAGCATAGAAAATAGCAAGATGAGAGCAACAAAAAATTCTAGGCAATGAAATACTCGATATAAGATTGGAGAAAGGAAATGTGAAGAAAATATGTTCACATATTTAGGAGCGAACTTGTTGGCAAATGGGTATATGAAACGTAAGGTGAACCATTGAAGTGACGAAGGAAATAAGTTGGGTGGTGCACTGATGCATTTTTGAAGTCAAAGAACGTTATCTATTGAGCCAAAAATGGGAATATTCCAGAGTAGTAGTAACACTGTTATATGGATGTAAGACATGGTTTGTAAACGTTACAGCGAGGAGGAGGCTAGAGGCAATGAAGTCTTGAGAGGCGATGTTTGGTGTAAATATTATGCAGAGAATTCGAAGCTTGTAGATTAGAAGTTGATGGGTTAACTATTGTTCATAGGCTGAGGAGGGTTTGTTGAGGTGGTCTGGACATTTAGAGAGGATACAGCAAATTGTTATTATTATTATTATTATTATTATTATTATTATTATTATTATTATTATTATTATTATTATTATTATTATTATTATTATTGTTATTATTATTATTTCTTTCATTCTTTCAACACACCGGCCGTATCCCACCGACGAAGAGTGACCTAAAAAGAAAAAGTTTTTTCTTTTTAAATTTAGTAATTTGTACAGGAGAAGGGGTTACTAGCCCCTTGCTCCCAGTATTTTAGTCGCCTCTTTCGACACGCATGGCTTACGGAGGAAGAATTTTTTCCATATTATTATTATTATTATTATTATTATTATTATTATTATTATTATTATTATTATTATTATTATGATCATAGGAGGTGCTAAACCCATATGGGTCATATAGCATCTGGGGAATGAAAAGCAAACAGATTTTACCAAAGGAATTGGAAGAAATGATCGATTCCTTGCATCAAGACCCTCTCAGCTGCATCAGGTTACCTCCCTGAGGGGTGAAAGGCTCGTCAAAGGAGTCGACGATGTGTTATAATTAGGATTACATATTTTTTCTAATTAAAAGCAATGACATTTTTAAAAGTATTTATCATCTTGCATAACTCGTTTAAGCTCTTCCCAACGTAGATGTCCTTTGTTTACATTACTTTTCTACACGAAGTGAGAGTTTAATTTACAATTTTTTCTCTGGCTTATTTGATAAACAAGTTTTATATGTGAAGACATCTATTCGAACTTAAAGTAATGAGTATTACAAGTGGCAGATTGAACCTCAGAGAAGAGGATGTTTCACTAATTGTATTTCAATCTCTGACATATTTTTACCTTATGTAATACTTACAAATATATTACCACTTTCAATGTTTACAGTAGATGTCCAATCATTCTCACGTGATTGGACTTGAGCGTTACAATCAACAATCCATAGTGCTACTTAACTTTTCATATTCCTCCGTATCCTTTATAATTTTTAGATTCTAACCCGGAGACAAAAAATATAGTAATCTGATCTTTCATTTCTATTTCAAAATATATTCAGTGATACAAATTCAGTGGTTTAAATGATGAGATATATACGTACAACACAACTCTTCAAGCCAGTTACTTGTTTACACGAGTTCCATTTATTTTCACATGGATAGAAAAAATCCTAATATTATATAAACTATTCTTGACACTACACAAAACTCCTGGCTACATATCGTCATCTCAGTTTAATATGAAGACGACTTTACCGTCATTAAAATACTCATATTAGGTCTGTAATTCTTAGAAGTGAATTAAATTTAAATATTACAATACATAACATTTTTGACATTAAAAATGTCTGATTCGACAATCAATCTCTCAATATGAGAGGATCGAGGATGTAATAACTGTGAATGCATTTAAGAACTTTTCTTAAATGTATTCAAAGTTAAAATATTCTAATTTGAATGTGTTGCAGTGACATTCAGTCACTGCAGCACATTCACGGTTTACTCTTCCCATTAATATTGTACTGGTTTAACCAAAATGTTTGGCTATTTTCTAAACACTGAATAAATGTTCTTCACTCTAGTTTTTTTTTAAACTACTTTTGCAACCAAGTTTTTAATTGTGATACTTCATAAAAACGTTAATATAGAAAGATGTGGGAATCAAAACAATTGGGAAACTTTGCTTTGAGTAATGCCTTAACCAAACATTTTTTGGACATAATTAACTGTTCGTGATGTCACCAAATGACTGATTTATTTTTTTAATATGTAATTCAGATTATTAAAGATCTTTGCAAATATCAAAAATACTTGTAATTTTCTTACGTACAAAAATATAGTCATAAATTATGAGTTCTCTCAGGTCAGAAGGTAAAAAGGTAGAAGTGCCTCTAGATTTTCATGCCATCGTAATTTAATTGGTGGAGCAAATGCATGTCGTGCCTCTGCTTGCCTCCACCCGAGGTAACATGCTCTCCTCGGAATGCTCTTTCAATCTTTACGTTGTTTTAAACTTATTTTTACCATTTACAGCTTACTACACATATCTTTCTTGACACTGATTTATGTAATATGTCACAAAACCTGATAATTAATTATCAATACATTGAATTTCAATAGACTGACCTAAGAAGAAAAATAGTTGTTCCTGTCGACTCATTTATCATGTGGAAGTTCATTCATTTTATATATATATATATATATATATATATTATATATATAATATATATATATATATATATATATATATATATATATATATATATATATATATATATATACATATATATATATATATATATAAAATATTAAAAATATATATATATATAAAAATATATATATAATATAATATACATACATGCTGGGGGCATCCTCCTCTGTGCTTTTGGCACAATATCGTCGAATCAAGAACAGCTACCAGGATTATTATCAACAGGCTGGTGTGTGAATATCTGCTCCTCGTGTTGGAAAGGGCCAGAAGACTCTGCGTTTCGTCTCTTCCTTCAGAATCAAGAAAAGTGTTGTGTATGTGAATTCAATTCAGTGAGGGAACATAACGGTCACCATGGCTAGGTGAGGTCAGTGAGGGAAGGCCTAATGGAGGAGGAGGAGGAGGAGGCGGAGGTTGAGGGGTAAAACTGTGTCTCCCCCTTCCCCAAACAGGCGCCCATACACCATGTGCTCGTGTTACAACAATGGAGTGTTTGTTCACCGTGTGTATAGTGTATATAGTGGTCAGTGGTCAGTCGTCACATGAGGTCACAGACCTTGAGCTGCTTTGGGGATTAGCGTGGACGGTTACAAAGCATGGCTTGCTTCTGCAGTGTTTTAAAAATTGAGGTTGGAGAGTTGAACGAGGAGGTCTTGCTTCTCCAGGAGGAGATTAGGAGGCTGAAGGTCCACCTCAATGGGTCTGGGAGAGAGTGTGAGGTGGCTGGAGTTGTGGGGAATGAGGCTTCTAGCAGTGAGGTGCAGTCTGTCTCTCGCTGTGAGGAGGCTGTAGTTGGGGAGGTAGCAACGGCTACCAGCAGTGAGGTGCAGCCCAGCACCTGCTACAAGTGGCGAGTGGTTCACAGTAATGGGAGGTGCATCAGAGTAAGGGAAGTTAAGAGTGAAGATCTGAAGGTAGGAAATCGCTTCTCTGTTCTTCAGGATGAATGTACTTCAGTGGCCAGTGAAGGTAAGGGTACTACTGCCCCTGCTAATGGAGGTAAGCGCATTCTTGTGGTTGGTGACTCTCAGGTAAGATATATTTGACCGTGCTTTTTGTAATAGGAATAAGAAGATGAGAGATAGAGTGTGCTTCCCTGGAGCTGGACATTGTCAACAGGCTGGATAATATCATGTCAGGTAATGGGAACAAGCCCATTATCTGTCTCAGTGCTGGTGGAAATGATATTGGGAAGGGTAGGAGAGAAGAGCTGCTAGATAAGTACAGGTCAGCTATAGATTTCATTAAGTCTAAGGGAGGGATCCCAATCATATGTAGCATCTTGCCTAGAAGGGGAGTAGGAAATGAATGGTTGTCTAGGGCAATTGGTGTAAATTGCTGGCTAGACAGATACTGTAAGGAACTTGCAATCCCATTCATTGACAACTGGAACAGCTTTTATGGCAAACATGATATGTATGCAAGGGATGGGGTACATCTCTCTGGGGCTGGGGTGGTAGCACTTGCAGACTCGATTGAGAAGGCCATTGGTGAAATGCCTATGATTTTAAACTGATGGAAGATAGAGGTATGGGTGTGTGTGGGAAACAAGCAGGTTGCAACACTAGGGTTGGAAACAGTAAATGTATAAAAGGCATTCAGCATGAAGTTATAAATAAAAACAATAGATCAGGTCAGCAAACAAAGGGGGACAGCAGAGGGCAGCAAGGGACTAGCTAATAGCAGGAGTGTAAGAAATAAGATAGATGAGCTAAGATTAATTGCAAGTGCAGGAAACATAGATATTATTGCTATAACAGAGACCTGGCTCAATCTGAAAGATAGAGAGATGCCCTCTGAATGTCACATACAAGGCTATAAATTATTCCACACTGACAGGGTCAACAGGAAAGGTGGTGGAGTAGCGATGTATGTCAGAGACAATTTAAATTGTTGTGTTAGACAAGATATTAAATTAGAAGCGTCAGCCACTGAATCTGTTTGGTTACAGCTTCTCGAGGGCCGAGAAAAACTAATTTTGGGTGTGATTTACAGGGCCCCAAATCTTGATAGGGAGTGCAGTAAACTTCTATGGGACGAAATTCGTAAGGCATCTACATACGAAAATGTTGTGCTAATGGGAGATTTCAACTATAGACAGATTGACTGGAGCAATTTGACAGGAAATTTAGAGTCAGATGACTTTCTTGATACGATCCAGGATTGTTTTTTAAAACAGTTTGTGACAGAGCCAACTAGGGGAAATAACCTCCTTGACTTGGTTCTTGCCAGTAGGGAAACACTAATTAATAATCTTGAGGTTAATGATGAGCTTGGGAAAGTGATCACAAATCACTCAGTTTAATATATCATGGAATTCCCCTAATAATGGCAATCAAGTCTCTGTCCCTGACTTCCGCTTGGCTGATTTCATAGGACTGAAAAATTACTTAGGTGGGGTGAACTGGGAATGACCTGACTAAGGGTCAGGTAGATGGTGATGGTTGCCGATATGACGCTTTCCAGGGCATAGTTCTAGCTGCTCAGTCAAATTATGTTCCAAATAGGGAAATCAGATCAAACAAAAATGATCCTAAATGGATGAACAATAGATTAAAATATCTAATTGGTCAAAAGAGAGGCATATATAGGCAAATCAAAAGAGGGGAGGAGCAATTAAGAAATCGATATATTCAGTTAAAGAGAGAAATAAAAAAAAGGAATTAGAAAAACAAAAAGAGATTATGAGGTTAAAGTTGCAAGAGATTCGAAGACTAACCCAAAAGGATTCTTTCAGGTATACAGAAGTAAGATCAGGGACAAGATAGGCCCACTCAAAAGTTCCTCGGGTCAGCTCACTGACAGTGATAAGGAAATGTGTAGAAGTTTTAACACATACTTCCTCTCAGTTTTTACACAGGAGGATACCAGCGATATTCCAGAAATGATAAATTATGTGGAACAGGACGATAATAAACTGTGCACGATTAGAGTCACAAGTGACATGGTCCTTAGGCAAATAGATAAATTAAAACCTAACAAATCCCAAGGCCCTGATGAACTGTATGCAAGGGTTCTAAAGGAATGTAAAGAGGAGCTTAGCAAACCTTTGGCTAATCTTTTCAACATATCACTTCAAACTGGCATGGTGCCAGATAAGTGGAAAATGGCAAATGTGATACCTATTTTCAAAGCAGGTGACAGGTCCTTAGCTTCGAACTATAGACCAATAAGCCTAACCTCCATAGTGGGAAAATTTATGGAATCAATAATTGCCGAGGCAGTTCATAGCCACCTTGAAAAGCATAAATTAATCAACGAATCTCAGCATGGTTTTACAAAGGGGCGTTCCTGCCTTACGAATTAACTTTTTTCACTAAGGTATTTGAGGAGGTTGATCATTGTAATGAATATGATATTGTGTATATGGACTTCAGTAAGACTTTTGACAAGGTCCCACATCAGAGACTATTGAGGAAAATTAAGGCACATGCAATAGGAGGAGAAATTTTTTCCTGGATAGAGGCATGGTTGACAAATAGGCAGCAGAGAGTTTGCATAAATGGGGAGAAATCAGAGTGGGGAAGCGTCACGAGCGGTGTTCCACAGGGGTCAGTGTTGGGCCCCCTGCTGTTCACAATATACATAAACGACATAGATGAGGGCATAAAGAGCGACATCAGCAAGTTTGCAGATGACACCAAAATAGGCCGTACAATTCATTCTGACGAGGACATTAGTGCACTCCAGGAAGATTTGAATAGACTGATGCAGTGGTCGGAGAGGTGGCAGATGCAGTTTAATATAGACAAATGCAAAGTTCTAAATGTTGGACAGGACAATAACCATGCCACATATAAACTAAATAATGTAGATCTTAATATTACGGATTGCGAAAAAGATTTAGGAGTTCTGGTTACCAGTAATCTGAAACCAAGACAACAGTGCATAAGTGTTCGCAATAAAGCTAATAGAATCCTTGGCTTCATATCAAGAAGCATAAATAATAGGAGTCCTCAGGTTGTTCTTCAACTCTATACATCCTTGGTTAGGCCTCATTTAGATTATGCTGCACAGTTTTGGTCACCGTATTACAGAATGGATATAAATGCTCTGGAAAATGTACAAAGGAGGATGACAAAGTTGATCCCATGTATCAGAAACCTTCCCTATGAGGATAGACTAAGGGCCCTGAATCTGCACTCTCTAGAAAGACGTAGAATTAGGGGGATATGATTGAGGTGTATAAATGGAAGACAGGAATAAATAAAGGGGATGTAAATAGTGTGCTGAAAATATCTAGCCTAGACAGGACTCGCAGCAATGGTTTTAAGTTGGAAAAATTAAGATTCAGGAATGATGTAGGAAAGTACTGGTTTGGTAATAGAGTTGTGGATGAGTGGAACAAACTCCCAAGTACAGTTATAGAGGCCAGAACGTTGTGTAGCTTTAAAAATAGGTTGGATAAATACATGAGTGGATGTGGGTGGGTGTGAGTTGGACCTGATAGCTTGTGCTATCAGGTCGGTTGCCGTGTTCCTCCCTTAAGTCAAGGTGACCTGACCTGACTAGTTTGGGTGCATTGGCTTAAGCTGGTGGGAGACTTGGACCTGCCTCGCATGGGCCAGTAGGCCTGCTGCAGTGTTCCTTCGTTCTTATGTTCTTATGTTCTTATGAGCATGGTATGCGCATAGCACGTGTAGTGTATAGCGGCGTGTCGTTTATAGTGGGGGCTGTGCACAGAGCATAGTGACGTATAGTAACAGGTGCACAGAGCATTGTGTTGTATAGTGACTTTTCCTGGGAGGGAGTGAGTGCCCTACTCCGCCTCATCACACATCTTCCACTCCTCCCTTTCCTCCACCGCCCACCACAAGGAGGAGAGACCCCTCTCCTCACCCTACCACCACCATGAACTACATGTGGTATGTGCCATGCGCCATTTTCCCTTCAGCCTGGGCTTACCACACTGTTTGAGGTATGGCAGATGATGAAGCCAGCCAGCCACAAAGCCAGGGAAACAGTGCACCCAACAATGAAAGAAGAGGCACATGTCAGGTGTGCGGAGAGTTTCGAGCACGCAACAGGGATGGTCGCATTCGTGCACACAATGGGTGTGCGGGATCACATATGCCCTCAGCAAAGAGCAGCCCACAGCCTCCACAGGCAGATGACAATTCCAATGGCAACCTCCTCACTTGCGATAACCTTCTGTTGGCATTCAAATCCACTGCTAACAGTACCCTATCCCACATCGCTAAAGTGGCTCGCCCATATGCAGCAGGGAAATTCACAGACCTTCTTAAGCAGGTGAATGGAGGTTCCACCGACTTAGAAGCCTGAGGCACCATCCAAGCATGGCGCAACCTGCTCCTGCTCGGCAATGTCTGTCTTGCAGTTCCTGAGAGACGAGGCAAACTGCTAACCACATCAGTTATCAAGGCAGTGCGCAACTACCCAAGAACGGATAATTGTGTCCCTCTGCCCCATCATCGCAGGAACCACAGAGGTAGACCCAAGAAAAGTCCCACTGAAAACGAGAAGATTTGCGCACAGGTTAGCAAAAAAATTGAAGAAGTTAACACAGTGAGAGGAATCCGAATAATTACAAGTGACGACACTGTAGCCCCCAAAGATGAGACCACAGCCCAAGCACTAAGAGACAAGCGTCCAACCAGGGACACCATAGCCATCAACAACAACCCTGAGGAAGACCCCATCACTGAACAATTAATTTTGCCTGAATCGGAAGTCTATAAGGCGATTGTGTCATTTCCTGCAGGATCTGCAGGAGGTTACACTGGAATTCGACCTCAGCACTTCAAGGAAATGGTAAGTCCAGTACTCGGTGCATCTGCATCACTTCTTCCCACCAAGTTAACAACTTTTGTCAACAACTGCCTGGCTGGGCGAATCCCAGAAAAAATTAAACCTTTCTTTTTTGGAGCCTCACTGTGTGCGTTGAAGAAGAAGGATGGGGGAATCAGACCCATTGCGGTTGGAAACACTCTTCACCGTCTCGTTGCCAAAGCAGCAGTAAGAAACATTCGCCTAGAAGCTGCCAGTTTACTCCAGCCACACCAACTGGGCTTTGGGGTCCCTCAAGGCAGTGAAGCTGCAGCTCATGCGGCAAGGGCCTACATCAGGGACCTGCCAGAAGACAAGGCTGTAGTCAAACTTGATTTTAGAAATGCCTTTAATATGGTAAAGAGATATTCTGTCTTGCCAGCTGTTCGGGATTGCTTCCCCAGTCTTTTTCCCTTCATTTCAGCTGGCTACAGCAAACCCTCAATTCTTTTGTTTGGAGAACATGAAATTCTCTCATCAGAAGGTGTTCAGCAGGGTGACCCACTAGCTCCACTTCTCTTCTGCTTGGCAGTAAGAGAACTAACTTCCAGCCTATGCAGCAAGCTCAACATCTGGTACATGGATGATGGCACTCTGGCAGGTACAGAAGAGTCCCTGGTAGGGGACCTACAACTGGTGAAAACACAGGGATAAGACTTGGGACTCATCCTCAATCCCTCCAAGTGTGAAATCATCACAGCAAGCCAGGAAATAATCAATGCTGTGTGAAGAATCCTCCCATAAGTCTCTACTACCACTCAGTCCAACAGTACCCTCTTGGGAGCACCGCTGGGTCACCAGGCCATCGACACAGTCCTCAAGGACTAACTGAATGACCTGATGAGAATGGAGGAGAGAATAAGCAATCTTGATGCCCATAATGCTCTGTATCTCCTCACAAGGTGCCTTACTATTCCAAGACTCACTTCCTGAGGTGTGCACCCTCTTTTGACAACCCAACACTCGACGAATATGACGCACACCTGAGGTCAACCCTTAGGAAGGCACTGAACCTGTCACTAGAGGATCAGCAATGGAATCAGGCAACCCTCCCAGTACGACTGGGAGGTATAGGGGTGCACAAAGCAATGTATGTTGCTTTACCTGCTTTTCTGTCTTCATGTTTGGCTTCCAGTGCAATAGTCAAGAAGATTGTTCCCGAACGCTTGAGAGACGTGGTAGGAGCTCAAGACCCCAGGTTTACTGAAGCAGCAATTCGGTGGGACACCCTTACAGATTCCTCCAGTAGACCAGCTCCTCCCAAAGAACACAAACAATCCCACTGAGACAAACCGATCATGGAAAAAATCGCCAACACAATGCTCTCCAATGCCTCAGGAAAGAACAAAGCTCTTTTCCTGGCAGTGAAGGCACCACACTCAGGAGATTTCCTGTTAGCTGTTCCCAGTTCCTCCTTGGGCACTCGACTAGACCCACAGGCCATTCGGATTGGTGTTGCTCTTCGCCTAGCCGCCCCCATTATCACCGAACATAGGTGTATTTGCGGCAGGGAGACAGCTGATCAATTCGGACTTCATGGTCTCGTGTGTCACACAGTAGAAGGGAAGTATGCCAGGCATGAGGAGGTCAATGACATCATAAAGAGAAGCCTTGCCACAGCCCATTGCCCAGCTCAATGGGAACCCCAAGTGCAGAGGTCTGACGGAAGTCAAAAGCATCCTGATGGAGCCACTATGCTACCTTGGAAGGATGGAAAGCAGATTGCCTGGGACTACACATGTGCTGCCACATTGGCAGGCACCTACTTGCCATACTCCGTAGTGGAAGGGGGTGGAGCTGCCAGCCACTATACTGACACAGGAAGACCCAGAAGATCTGCAAATATGAAGACCTTCCCCGTTGCTATAACTTCATCCCAATAGGGTCGGAGACCCTTGGAGCATGGGGAAAGTGTGCTCTAAAGTTCCTAATAGAGCTGGGTGAAAAGCTCATCATAGAAACCAAGGACCACAGGGTGGCCAGCTTCCTCTTTCAGAGTCTCAGTGTTGCAATCCAGAGAGGAAATGCCTGCAGCATTCTGGGCACGCAGCCCACCGCTGGGGAGCTGGACGAAGTATTTGAGA